GAACTTCTGTTTTGCACAAAAAGTTAGAGTCATAACATTTTAAACTGGAAGGCAGCTCTGAGGATGACTGTTCTCAATCTTTTAATTCCACAGCCTGACAAACCCATGGTGAGTGAGACAGAACTGTTATCACAGGTGGCTGTTAACGTCCCTGTCTCTGATCACTGTTTAATTCTGGCTTCTTTGGTTTCTTGCTATTACTGCCTCCCGAGGAGTTGTAATTAGTCTAATATGGTCCTGTCTCAGATTCCCTCCTAGGAAGCTGGCTGATGAAGGAGCCAAAGTACCTGAATGGAAAATAGTTTCATCATGAAGATATTCCAAGGCCATGACACCTCAGAGAACAGCACGCCACTCAAACTCTGGTGAGTACCTAAGGCTGCACCTTGGCAGGTGAGGGTCTAAGTAGATCAGATTAAGACAATATCTACATAAAATGGGTTTTAAGAAAAAATCTGCTGGAAAAGATAATGTATTTATTTTTGTTTTGAATTACCCACTAGTTGTGTATGATTCTCAAAGGCTAGTTAGTTTTTCAGATTTTTATATTGCTGTGATCTTCCTACTTTCATATCTGATATATAATGTGAAGTTACTTACTGATATATAATTTCAGCTTGGAATATGAAAACTGAGTAAGCAAATAAAGTGACCATTCTCCAAAAAACAGTTTTCTGTTATTGCAGCAGAAATAATTTAAGAAATGTAACAAAATATAAAATAGCCCAAATAGGCATTTTAAAATAACATATTTTTAATTAAATTTACTTTCAAAGATGATAGTAGAATTAAAATTACTTAATAATATCATGATTAACTTATTCTTTGAAGAAAATGCTGAATGGTTCTTTCAAATAAAATTGAGGAAGGAATTTAAACTATTTCAGTGCTGTAGCCCTAGGGTTTTGTGATTAACGTGTCTCTCCCAAATTTCTTAAAGATGTTAAATATTTACTGCTGTTTGTAAGTAAAGAGACACATGGGTAGGTCTGAATTTTCCAGGCCTCCAGTAATCCGATCGGTGGATCGCCCATCCATCCTTCCTGCAGCGATGGAACCTCAGACAGGGAACAAGCAGGGAGTGCCTTCTTGGCTACCCAGCACTTCTCACCAAGACGAGCAGGATTGAGATGTCAAACATTTAATGTGGTCTGTGTAACTGTTCTCACCTGGGTAATTTATGTAGTTTTTACTTGATTTACGCAGAAAAGCAAGAAGTTTTACAACTGTTATTGTTCCACATAGAGCCCATATAATTATCTAGAAAAATCACCAGTCCTTCACTTTGTGACTCATAGACCTGGCTTTAGCAGAGACAATGCGATTACAATTCCAGTTTTGTAATGTGCTAAGCCTCCAGCGCAGATGGCTTTATGGGATGACTTACCATAACTGTAGTTTTTGCTCAGGTATGTTGCCAAAGTCGGCTTCACCTTTTTGCACTTGCATCGATCTAAAAAAAGCCAAAAGAGAGACAACAAAAATTTGGAAAACGGACAGAAATAACTGCGGGGAGGAGATGGAGAGGGGCTGGGGTTAAAGAACTCACCCGGGCTCAGGCGTTTACAGTCAACGTCAAGAGGCCTCTCCTGCACCATCATGTCTGGCGTGATGTCTATCCACTTCACGTCTGAAACACACACGGGGCCACACGGATGGGAAAGTCATTGGATCTGTTCACCCAATTGGAATAACTACGACAGCTTCACAAAAGAA